TAAACTCATTAACAGCTAAAACTCCGGTAAGACTGTAAAGTGAGGCCGGTTAAAAATACTTTTATTGACGGGGATTAAAGTAATTCCCATAAGACCACTGCGAAGTAATTACACCAATAAAAACAAGTATACTCAAATTTATTTTTTTACTTGTACACATATGTCTGGCCAAATACTCTAGACTCTCAGGAATAGCATGCCAAGTATGAACTTATATAATCCCATACATGGTATGAAAACTGTAACAGTCACCACAATAATGACTGTTTAGCATTGTAACAAAGGCGGGGACACGATATCCACTAGGACGCTGTGTTGCTAACAATAACTCCGTGACGTATGGGAATTAAATAGGAAGGTGTTCATTAAAAATGAATGACGCGTCTGATTCAAAAGTAATTTCGATTCCGGACCGCATTTGGCAGTCACAGGACGGATATCCACTTTGAGAACAACAGGCACAGTATTTATTAGCACGCGAACTTTACTGACAGTGTACTTTAAGACATGACGTATATGCAATCTATTTACTTTCTTCTTATGTGACCACCCTTTCTGTAAAATTTGTACAGATTCGTCTTTGTTGAATTAAGTAAATTAATACGTGATAGCCTACATGGCTTGGAAGGCGAGCGTAAAATAACCGATTTTATTTTTAAAAAACGGGGCAAGTAAGTATAAGCTGTGGTGAAAGTCGAAACAATTTCTTGTACACTCGTATACCATTGTTGTTTTTATTTCATATATATATATATATATATATATATATATATATATATATATATATATATATATATATATTAACCACGCGCTTGTAAATTCATACTCATCGCGCATGCGTACTGTAGATTCTATTTGTTGTATACATGATATTGTAGTTACAAAATATAACACTATAACATGTTTACATTTGTATATTGCTGTGTATGGGCATATGTCTTGACATACAAATGAATAAAATCAATACCAAATTCATTGAAACTTAATAGCCAAGTGACGATGGAGATATGTGTACGTCAATACGGTCAACAACTATATGCATTTTATTATTTTAGATCGGAATTTAGTTTACTAATAACATAATGATTGCTAAACAATAACAAAATAAGAGTATATATATACAATATATACTGTCATATGAATCGTGTTGCCACGATTGTATATAGTGTGACGCTTCCCGTCAAGGAGAAAGTGTCACCCGTTCTTCAATATTTAAGAACACTTCACGGCCCCTCGAAGTGACAATGGTTTAGTCCAGTTATGTGTAGTTGTGAATTCAGTATAAAGCCACCGAGTACCCATCGCACACTAACTAGTCAATCTAAGTTTAACAAATGAACTTTAGAAGTCATTGTCACAATCTTTCACGATATCCCTTTTCAGCGAGAACTCCAATCGGAATAGAACGCCTTTAACAGACAGTGTCTATGTCTGAAAGTTTCCCTTGGTGATCCATTGTTAAGACACCCGAAATGAGACAGTTGTATTTCTAAAGTACTAGTAGTTCTACAATGTATCACAGAGTTAAGATTATAGGATTATATTATTAACTTAAAATTACATACCAGGAAACTATACCGATAAATTAGCGTTATAACTGAATACTAACGCATCATATGCAACACCGCATTCGATATTGAACATGCTATCGTACACCGTTGTTGGTGCACTGCTAGTGTGTTTTGATTTTGGAGAACTCGGTAATTACAGTTTGTACATTCCCACAGCAAGGAGCGCCTCTGTGTTATTTAAACCGGAGGGCATGTACTGCTTGTTGATTTAAACTCCATTTACCATCGTAATGTGGTCACTGTATTTGCATTTGCTATTGAGAAGAACTCTCATTCACATACATCAGCATCCACAGTCTATAATAACATAAGCCGTTCATCCAGATACCATATAATCTCGTCAAATGCAATTATATATAATTATCCGTGGTCGACTGGAAAGTATTAAACAAAGTGCAAATAAGTGCAAATAATGTATCTCCTATGCACCACCTTAGAAATAGTACAATTTCAAGTGTGGCTGGTCACATCTTCGTCATTATACTGCAATCCAACTTGGTAACGCGCCCTGGTTGACGCTCCAAACAGTGGCGTTATTGTCAACTTTATTGGCTTTAGGTTTCTTTTCACATGGGACTACTATGAACATTTATTGCAACAAACCTGTTTATACATTTCTCTTGTGCCCATCCCTTTTGTCCACTTTGGATCATTTCTCATTGTCCGGACTACGGTCGGGCTCAGAAGAATCTTTCCGTCGACCTTTATTTACCGAGTGATTCCTTTTGCCGGTTTACGGAGTTTGGCTGCTTCCATTGTGTGGCTATACAAGCCTGTGTTGTTGCTTGTCGCATTGGACGTTTGTTCGAAGCGTGTTTCTAACACGAATATTTTCTGTAATCAAGGACGACCATTATATGCCTAACAACGGCATGGGTGTATTCTGTCAGCGCCCGCGCAGTGATCACCACGTCGTGTATTTGTTTCCAAATGTTGACACTTGTTGACTCGAAATATTAATTATGAATCTCACGGGGGATGAAACGGAAAATGAGGTGTCCGGGGAAGTTGTTGTCGATTCCTCTCGCGTAGGAGTGAGATATTTTGCGTTCAAGCAGGTGAATTTGTTGCCCAAGATTCACTTGGTGACTCGAAGGCATACAACGCTCATTGGTTCTGATGGGTAGGTGATTCTTCAACGGTGGCTAGTATTTCTCGATTCGTCTCGATCGATCTGAAGTAGAACTGCCAGTTTTTATTGCAATTCACCGCCAGCGCATCACTAACCAAATACTGGCTTGCCTTGTTTTCGCGAGTTTATCTTAAAAGTAAATCATTTAATTACTGTTTAATCTTACGTCTATATTTTTAGCTTCATTATCTTATTTGTGTGGTTATTTTGTTGTCAAATTGTGTGGATTCATTGTTATAATGTATCCCGAGAGAACTAACCAAAATCAACATTTGAACTTTAAGAAATGACAATACACATAGACATTGGTTGCTACTTCCACTGTGTTGCTTGTCTGTACACTTGTTTGTGCGTTCCTGCTGTTAATTGTGACATTTTTTTGTTAATTGATAGCCTTTCCGGAGGAGGGCCTATTAAACCGCCCCATCGAGGTCCGAGGAAGACACCGAGCAGTCATTCAAATATCTCCGCCCCACCGATTGTACAAAATGGGTCAAGTTGGCAACGAGACGGTGCAGGGGGCGAGGACACAGAGTAACGAAGAGTGACCATACAACTCGTCGAAAAAATGCAAAAGAACAAAGTAAGTGCTACCTTACATTTCGTTAAACGTATAGGGTTCCACAACAATACAGTGTTTATCGATTATTTTATCACTACACTCAACAAGAAACAATACCTCAAAATACACGTCACGTCCGCCGACATCAGCGATCACCCACTATTAGGGAACATTTTAAAATTAGTGAAAGCTGCAAAGACCGAGGAATATAATGTGCAAGTTTTACTGGATTGTTCAAATTGGTTTGAAATAGGTTGCCATTTTTTTGACTGATTTCCAAACCGGCCATTCTAAATAGAAATCGCATGCATTCAGCATGGAGGCATTCAGCGAATCGATTTTTTGGTAAATATTCGTATATGATTTTTGAAAAATTCGCCCATTACGAATGCACATGTCCGTTTCCCAAGAGAGCTCTTTAGAAAAAAAGGGGGTAACGTTCTAAAAAACGGGATAGTCCAGCCAAAATATGCACTCATGCAAATCCGTAAGGAAATGTAATCCCTAAATATGCAAACAGTATTTAATAACATCTGAATATTTTAGGCAAATTATTAAAGCTATCATCTTATTAGTACACGCAATCTCTAGTGACAACATGCAATTATAAATTGAATTAGAGCGGGTTGGGGAAAATATTTTTGTCATTTGTTTTTGCCATGAGAAACGACTGATTAATCATAGCCAAAATCCCATTATGCCACCTGGATGACCGCTATGTATACCCGTGGAGGTAAACATGTAGAGAGCAATTCCATGGTATGCCAGAGTTTATCTATAGTTTATATATAACTTTCCAGACAAATATGATTAAGCATAAATAACAACTCCTAATTCTTTCAACCTAATTTGAATTTTATTAATATTGGTCTAACCCAATATAAATATATGATACATACATACATGACTGGGTTGCCAAACATACTAGTAGATATCGGTAAAACAGTCAGTTATACACGACACGACGTGACGCATAGGAAGATAATACAACTTTCGTATTATTCTGTGTCAGTGTATGGACATATACGTGCATGGCATTCAGTGTCCGCCTAATTTAGCTTGACACTCAAAAACCAAACAAACTCGAATTGATATTCTGCGCACGGGTACAGATTGGATTACACATAGCGCTATTTGTTTTTTGGTGCTAGGTTGACTACAAGAACTGACAATTGGAGAGGAGGCCGGCCAGTAAGCCGGCTCCCCTGTCTCCATTCCCCGGCTATTTATTTCACTACAAATATTACAGATATAATTGATTAAACGAGTTTTTCAATATTTCTCCACTGGGTTAGCATAGGGTTGATTACTAGCTAAAATATTTAAAAAAGTATCAATAGTCACCGAATTAACAATCACATATATTAACATAATGACTATTATGTATGTAGAATCGAGAGGTAGGTGGTGATCAAACTACCACGTCATCTACTACTGTTTACCCCGGCCTAAGTGATGTCATTCAGGCCATATGCTAATTATGTCACGTACTATTCACTTACAGCTGACGATGTAAATAGACTGGCGAATTCAGCACCAGCAGGTACCAAGATATCACCGAGTAGTAAACCAACACACAAACCACCACTACCGAAGTTAAATAATTTGGTCACAGCAGGTAAGGCACACGAAGACACTGTTGGGTGTATGGTAGTCACTAGATACATTTATTAATTAGATTCAAATTCTCAAAATTACTAGTAGTCAAAAATCAGTAGATGCTGACACAGCCCCCTACAACTAATAACATTCTAAAATTGGTGAAAGCTGCTAAGATCGGTGCAATATAATATGTAGACAATTGGCAGTTGGCAATCGTAGTCATTGGTAATTATTTAATATGACCAGGCGTTTCGGAGAAAATATTTATTCTCAATGATAGATATGAATAGAATCAATTTTGTTCATAGATATTTGAATAGATAGTAATAGAAGTATTTCTCTATTAATATCTATCATTGAGAAAAGATACTTTGCCTGAAACATCTGGTTATATTAAATAGTTACCAAAAGAAAAAGATTACTTCCGACATGTATCACCATTTTTTCTATATATTGCACTACTGTTAACGTTGGATGACAATAACTACATTTTTGTCAGTCTGCTATTTCACCGATTAGTCTTGTGGGGGTTGGCTATTTCATTAAGAAATTGAAATACAAACAACGTGACGAAGAAAATGTTGGTTTATCATACGTTTGATACAAATGCTGGTTTGTTGTTTGTCGGCGGTATCAGATTTATCGTAACTCGCAAGGTGACATACCTCTTCCAATGCCGTGAAATTAGTTACAGATTTATGCATTTGTAGGCGTCGGTGGTCAGTACCCCGTTACACGTGACGGCGGTACAACCCTACGTATGTTAACACTCCGATAATTTACGATGAAATCAGCGCAACTCCAACGATAGTCAACCCATGTATAAGATGTATACATTACAAAATACGTCACCTGGGCGATGATAGATGAGTGATACTCTATCGATTCAATTCACATTTCGGCCAAACTATGTCAATAATACTGAGCAAATGTGTTTGTTTTTCAGAGACGTATGGCGTTACCTCAGCAACTCAGGCTTCGCGTGACCATAGTAACCGCCACTGGGCATCTTCATGGGCAGATGCGTATTCCAGAAACTCGGCGGCAATCCCACGTGAGGCGAAGTAAGTAAACCAGAACTATGCATAAGCTTGTTATGTCCGTCACAAAGTTTTCCAAGTTTAATAAAACCACAATGTCGGTCCACAGCGACTAACAAGTAATATGCATTGTTGTTTGTGCAACACATGGCAATTTATTTCCAGACACGTACACGTACACTGGCACTCACTTATTTCTAGGTGTATAATATATAGTATAATGTGTATCCTGGTGCTATGCACCCACGAATGTAATTGCTATTATTTTTAAAAACAAAATGCGATGACATTTTAATGTTGTATTTCTTTTCGTATATTAAAAATGTAGCGGAGTATCCAGGTATTAGATTTGTGATTAGAATTTTAGAGAAAACCAACCAGTTTTGAAATGGCCGAAACTGATTTATTTAGATGGAGTACTACAGTTGGACCACTTTATCCGATGTATACCAGTGTAGTTGATTCATTTTACAACAATCAGTCGTAATGCCACGAGAAGCCACTTTATTCACATATTAAACATTTTAGATTCATAACGTATTGGCACTATACTTATGACCCCCCCCCCCATTGTCGTCTAGGGAGAGAATAACGATTCCATCATCACAAAGACCAATATAATAAGATGTTAGGCTAACTTTGCGTTGTACAGTTGAAACGCCAGCGCTTAGCATGTATGATTAGAATATCTCAATTTGTGGGTTTTTTTTTTTGCCCGGGACTGATAATTTCACCTCCGTACGTGCGTCTGTGCATCCGTCCGCACCAGTCGATTTCATTTAAACTACACACACACATCACATCATACATATGCATTTGTTTCATAGTGCAATTCATGGTTGCCTAATAGTGTCCATATTAGATCCGTGGTACATCGTGGCCATTCCAGGATGTACACTCGTTCTGACAATTAAATAAATACAACATTAGCATATTAGGCCCATTTTATATGACATTTCAATCGTGCCCTAATCCTAATTTCCTTATAACTTATTTCGTACTCGTACAATGCAAAATACATATTTGATTAGGTTGGTTGGCCATCAAGTACCATCCTATGGCACCCAATTCATATATCACCAATATCATAGTACAGAGTTATGTTAACAGCGAGTCAAAAATAAGACTAATATACTAAATTTGCATTTAATTAATTGTAAGGATGAGATTACATTGTGAAATGGCCGCGATGTACCACGGATCATTTTAGTACTAAAAAACCATAAAAACCAAGCAGTTCTGCCATACGTCGGTCGTGCATGGACATATTTCATTCAAACTTGGTATGTCCATTAAACATAATAGGACCAAGATTGGTTATTTTCCCCCCAGATCAAAATGACTGACTAATTGCCATTTTGTTTTTAACAAATGCTGTTTTGCAGCCATATTGTTAACATGGCTGGAATGATCATGAACACATTCGCACATGCATCTATTACAGAATCTAATTCAAGATGGCTGATTGTCATTTTCGTGTTAGAAATATATTATGAATGCCATGGGCACAGTAGAGGAAGGAAACACACAAATTTTCTGACTCCACTTTCTAT